ATTGCCCTGGCCAGGACTTCCAATACAGTGTGAAATAGAAGTGGTGACAGAAGGCAACCTTGTCTGGTTCCTGTTTGTAAGGGGAATGCCTTGAGTCTTTCTCCATTAATAATGTTGGCTGTTGGCTTTGCATATATACCCTTTATTATGTTGAGGAATTTCCCTTCTATCCCTATTTTGCTGAGAGTTCTGAACAGGAATGTATTTTGGATTTTATTAAATGCTTTTCTTGCATCGATTGATATAATCATGATTCTTTTGTTTTCTTTTGTTTATGTGGTGGATTATATTGATTGATTTTCTGATGGTGACCCACCCTTGTAAACCTGGTATGAATACCACTTGGTCAGGGTGCATTAATTTTTTGATATGTTGTTGGATTCTGTTGGCTAGGATTTTGTTAAAGATTTTTGCATCTGTGTTCATGAGGGATACTGGTCTGTAGTTTTCCTTTCTAGTGTTGTCTCTCCCTGGTTTTGGTATTAGCGTTATGCTTGCTTCATAAAATGAGTTTGGGAGTTTCCCATCTTTTTCTATGTTCTGGAATAGCTTGAGTAGCATAGGTGTCAACCCTTCTCTGAATATTTGATACGGTTCTCCAGTGAAGCCATCAGGGCCAGGACTTTTCTTTGTGGGAAGTTTTTTTTTTTTTTTTCATGACCTGTTAAGTTTCTTCTTTTGTTACACGTCTGTTCAAGTTTTCTATCTCTGAGTGGGATAGTTTAGGTACGTCTTGTGATTCTAGAAACTTGTCTATCTCTTCTATGTTCTTAAATCTGTTGGAGTACATTTTTTCATAGTATTCTTTCAGTATCTTTTTTATTTCAGTTGGTTATGTTGTGATGACACTATCTTCATTTACAATTCTTGTGATTTGGATCTTCTCTTTCTTTTCTTTTGTTGGATGTGCCAATGGTTTATTGATTTTATTAATCTTTTCAAAAAACCAGCTTTTTGTTTTACTGATTTTCTCTATGTTTTTTTTGTTTTGTTTTGTTTTCTGTTTCATTTATTTCTGCTCTGATCTTTATTATTTCCTTGCTTCTAGATAGTTGGCTTTGACTCGACGGCACATAACAACAACAACAACAAAAAGATACTGTAGGATTCTTTAGTTGTTCTATTTCTAGTTGTTGAAGTTGATGAGTTAGAGTGTTGATTTTGTTTCTTTCCTCTTTTTTGATGTATGCATTTATTGCTATAATCTGTCCTCTGAATACTGTTTTGCCATGTCCCATAGGTTTTGGTATGATGTATCTTCATTCTCATTTGTTTCTAGAAATTTTTTTTATTTCAGTTTCTATATGTTCTATTACCCAGTAATTTTTGAGCAGTGAGTTGTTCAGCTTCCATATATTTGATGCTTTTTCTTTGCTCTTCCTATTATTAATTTCTAATTTTATAGCATTGTGGTCCAAAAAGATGCTTTGCAGTATTTCAATGCTTTTGAATTATTGAGGCTTGTTTTATGTCCTAACATATGGTCTGTTCTGGAGAAGGATCCATGTGCACTGGAGAAGAATGTGAATTGTGCTTTTGTTTGGTGAAATGCTCTGTATATGTCTATGAGATCAAGTTTGTTGATTGTATTATTGAGATCTTCTGTATGTTTGTTGAGTTTTTTTCTTGTTTGACCTATCCCTTTTGAAAGTGGTGTGTTAAAGTCTCCTACTACTATTGGTAGAGTTGTCTATTATCCCTTTTAATTCAGTTAATATTTGCTTCCTGTATTTTGGAGCACTTTCATCGGGTGCATAAATATTTATTACTGTAACGTTTTCTTTGTCAGTTGACCCTTTCAGCATCATATAATGTCCTTCTTTGTCTCTTACGATGTTTTTCACCTCAATGTCTATTTTGTGAGAAATTAATATTGACACAATTGCTCTTTTTTGGTTTCCATTGGCTTGGTATTTTTTTTTCCATCCCTTAACTCTTGATTTATTTTTATCTTTGTGTCTAAGGTGGGTCTTTTGTAGGCACCATATTGATGGGTCTTCTTTTCTTATCCAGTCTGCCACTCTCTTTCTCTTTCTCTTGATAGGTGTATTCTTTCAGGATTCTTTGTCTTTGGTTTTGATGAGTTTGATGATGATATGTCTTGGTGATTTTCTTTTGGGGTCTGTCCTGTTGGGGATTCGTTGGACTTCCTGAGTGGATATATTCTCATCTTTCATCATATCAGGGAAGTTCTCTTCCAACAAATCTTGGACAATTTTCTCAGTTAGTTCATTCACATTGAGTGTAATTAGTGATAGGTATTAATTTATTACTGTCATTCTGTTGTGTCTTTTTGTTGTGTTGTTGGTGTTTCCTTGGTCTGTATACTTCTCTGTGCTGAGTTCAGTTTTTTGGCTAATGCTTTCTCCCTTTTCTTCTTTATTGTTGGTTTTGTGTTCATTGACCCCAGGTGTTTCCCTTCCTTCTGGATTTGCTTAGGGGGATTGTTACTTTTCTCTGTGTTTACCTTGGACTATATTCTTGTCTCTACATTTTTAGAACAGTGCATACTGTGAAGACGTCCTGTTTTCCTCTCCATTTGGATGTTTGTACCTAGAGGTTTTATTCCCTCTGATAGGTTAGTTGATGTTGTTATATGCTGATTGGCTTCCTTGGTTTTTAGAATACAATGTTTTATGGTCTTATTTTGAGTTTCTATTTCTGATTTGGTTTTAGTGTTGATGCCACATATCCTGATTTTGTTGATCTCTGCTATGGGTTTTCTATTGGAAGTATTTCCTTAAGCATTTCTTACAGGGTTTGTCTGGTTTTTGCAAAACCCTTAATTTCTGTTTATCTGAGAATGCCTTCATTTCGCCCTCATATTTGATGGATAATTTGGCTGGATATAGGATTCTTGGTTGGAAGTTCTTTTCCTTCAGTGTTTATATGCTGTCCCATTGTCTTCTTGCCTGCATGGTTTCTGCTGAGTGATCGGAGCTCAGCCTAACTGTTTGATTATTATCAGTAATATTTCTTTTGTCCTGGGCAGTTCTCAAAGTTTTTTCTTTGTCTTTGGTTTTGGAGAGTGTGATTATAATATGCCTTGGTGTTTTTCTCTTGGGATCTATGTTGTGTGGGGTTCTCTGAGCTTCTTGGGCAAATATCTTTTCTTCTTTCATGATATGGGGGAAGTTTTCTTGTAGCAGGTCTTCCACAATTTTCTCGGTGTTTTTTTATTTCACTTCTTCTTGTTCTGGAATTCCAGTGAGTCTTCTGTGTTTTCTTCTCGTGTCATCCCATATAATTCCTGGGTTCTCTTCATTTCTCTTAAATCTTTGTTCTGATTTTTCTTCATACAGGCTGGTGTCCAGTGAATTCTCTTCTAGTTGGGATATGCTTTCTTCAGTCACTTCTAACATACTCTTTTGTGCTTCCACTGTGTTGTGTAATTCTGTAATTTTGGTATTCATCTTCTGGATTTCTAACTGCTGTTTTTGTATGAGTTCTGATTAATCTTATTATTTTTTTCTTAAATGATTTTCCTGAGTTCTTCCAGGGGACTGTCTGTGTTCTTCTTGTTTCTGTTTGGGGTTTCCTTAGGTTCTTGTAAAGCTCTATAAACATCTTCTAAACTCCTTCTCAGATAATTCTATTGCCTCTTCTTCCTCTATGTTTAATGAGACCATTGTGGTTTTGCCTCTAATGCTTTGTCCTGTTTTTTTGTTTGATTTGAGGTTTTCTTTATTTCCTAGACATTTTGAGATTGTCTTTAACTGTTGGTTATGTGATGATTTGTTTTGTCTTGGTTTTATGGTTTACTGTCTTGAAAAGGTGAAGCTGGTGTGTATTTTATTCTTTTAGTTATTAATTCAGGTATGCTGGGTTGCTGTGCAGTTTTCGTTGTGATGGTGGAATCACTGTGTGGAATGTGAATATGGGTTTCTGTTTGTCGTTAAGTGGGTTTAGAGTTCAAACCAGAAAGTTTTATGGTGGCTTTATGCTGTTTCTTCTATTGAATGAGTGAAGTTATTAGTGGAGAAGGTTGGAGTGGAAGAAGGAAAGCTTCCTGTTGCTAGGGGCAGTTTTTAGGGCTTTGAGCAGGGTGCTACTGATGATGTTGAGCCCGCAGCTCAAGTTCAGCAAAGACTGTAGTTTTTAGGGGGTTGCCACTTTCCACCAAGCTCAGAGACATGCAAAAACCCCTGTCCTGCCAAAAAGCCAGCCCAAGACAACTTCCCAGTTTCTCGTTCCACCACAGGGGTTTCTCTCTCTGGGACCACCCATCTGTGGCGCTGGCCCAACCAGCCCAGACTGCAGTCTGTCTTGGGAGTTCCTCTGTGGGTCTGCCTACCCATGGCGCCAAAGATCCACCTGGTTTCAGCGTACTGGAGTCGGGAGAGTACCTGCTAGTAATTTGTGGTCCCAATATTACTGATGAAGTCAAGCGCCAGCCTCTCAGTGCCACTAAGCTGACCCAGGCCTATTCGGTGACCTGCTGGGCCCACCTTCCTGCAGCACCAATGGACTCTGGTTGGGTTTCTGTGGCACTGGACGTGCTCGTTTGCACCTAGCCAACCCACGTTTCCGACAAAATCAGGTGCTGAAGATAGATCCTTGGGGTAAAAGCTGGTATGCTGGTGTGGTGTGTCACCTTCCTTAAGCCAGAGAGGTTTCAGATGGCCATTCTTGCCTGCCTGTCTGTGCTCCCCTAGGGAAGTCTCCAATGGCCTTTCTCGGCTGCCTGTTGGTGCTCTGCAGAATAGATCTTCTGATCTTGTTATTTTTTCCTTGTCCATTTCTTCTTTCTAGTTCTGTTCCTCTGAATTTGGTGCACTCTGATTCAGTGAGCTGTTCAGAGCACCAGAATCCCTAATTCAAACTGCTGTACCTAGTTTTTTAAGCACTAAGATGCTAAAGGGAAGTAGCATGGTGATTACTGACGAGACTCCATTTCAATCCTCAGGAAATATACTTTTAAGAACATGAATAAGTCACTCAGACTACTTCATAAGTCAAATACTGATTTATACTTCTTTTTATTATTATTCTTTCTATAGGAGAGGTTTCAGTTTCCAGCCCAAGTAACTGATGTTTCAGAAAATGCTAAAGATCTTATTCGAAGGCTCATTTGTAGCAGAGAACATAGACTTGGTCAAAATGGAATAGAAGACTTTAAGAAACATCCATTTTTCAGTGGCATTGACTGGGATAATATTCGAAACTGTGAAGCACCTTATATTCCAGAAGTTAGTAGCCCAACAGATACATCAAATTTTGATGTGGATGATGATTGTTTAAAGAATTCTGTAAGTATGACATTGTGTAAGAGTTCTTTGTCTTGTATGGCTATTAAATAATTTTATGATTTTCAAGTATTTTGCTTGGACTACCATATCAATTATCAATCAGATAATTATCATGGCTTCTGGTGCTTAGTCTTCATAAATCAAGGTATTAAGAGCGTTAACAGGTGAGCATAGTCATTCATAACTAAGAGCAAAATTAAAATTCAAAGACTTACTTATTTGATAATTTAGGTCATTAGGTTTCCTAAGAAGACAGATACTGATTTCAACTCAGAGCAACCTTACGGAACAGAGTGGAGCTTAGCCCATAGGTTTCCAACGCTATAATCTTTACAGAAGCAAACTGCCTCATTTTTCTCCCTCAGAAGTATGTGATGGATTTGAACCACTAACCTTTCAGTTAGCAGCCAAACACTTAACCATTGTGCCACCAAGATTCCTCAGAGGACAAATACAATGTTTGAAAACCATTGGCCAGTTATCTTAGTTGTCTAGAGTGACCAAAAAAAAAGTGTACTTGATGATGGTAGAGTAAAGATGTTGACAAATCTCTCCCTAAAAACGATGATGAAACTAGACAAAATTGTCAAAAACCTTTTCAGGTCTTGGCAAATCAACCCAAGGCAAAAAATAAATTGAGAAGCATTTGTTCATGAAAAACTGCTAAGACTGTTAAAAACAGGAGCTTTGGTGGTATAGTGATTTAGTCATTTGGTTGCTAACCGAAAGGTTGGTGGTTTGCACCTGCCAGCCACTCTGCCATAGAAAGATGGGGCAGTCTGCTTCCATAAAGATATGCAGCCTTGGAAATCCAATGGGGATTCACTGTGTGTTGGAATAGACTTGATGGCAATGAGTTTGGTTGGTTTTTGGTTGTTTTTTTTTTTTTTTTTTTGCCTCCCTGCTCAGGTAGAATGATAGAAGTACTAGATTTGACATAAAATCCAACAGTTTAGCTGCTAGAGGTGACTGACTTGATTTGGAGGGTAAAACACATCACGTTCAGCAGTGTTGATAGTAAAAATAGCAAACTCAGAAGGAAATAAATTGGTAAATAAATTAGTAAGTCTATAGTGTTGCTAACCTGAGGTATAGCACTGTTTGGGGTAAACTGCAGACCAACAAACTAAGTAAATATTTAACAGAGAAATGGTGGATAAGAGCCATTGGGGTTCTACATATGTTCTCCACACAAACCTGACTGACTTGGAAGCCGTGTGTAAGGACAAGAGAGATAGGAGAAGGCTCAGGCTCACTACACATCCCTGGCTTATGAAGAAAAGAGCACATGTTCAGAGACTCAAGAGGATTTAGGCTTCACACACACATTCCTGACTTATTGGGAGACCTTGTACATGTGAATAGATGTTTAGGGAGCTCCTAGCAGGAAGTAAACTTTGGGGCTGAATTGAAAATAGCCTGGAATTTGAAAATGTTCCCCATTCCAAACACAGACTCACTGGCAAAGGGTGAATGTTTTAACTGTCTCAAGGTTTTTGAGCACAACCTCGGATCAGTCATTGGCTGTCCACTAAGTTATTTAGACACTAAGACAACCTCTGAAAAACTAAGCTAAAATATAAGAATTAAATAACAAATAAAAACTGAGCAGCATCATTAGCATCAGACCATGGGAGAGAGATTTCATAGATTAAGGCAGGCAAGTTACTAACAAACAAAATAAAACCAAAGACAAAATTGACTTTTAGATTTAAGTCAAGCCCTGTCACTTTATATAGGTTTAATTCTAAAACTTATATGGAAATATAAAGGACCCAGAATTTTGTAAAAGAAGACAAAGTAGGACTACTTGATTTCAAACACAGTATAAAACTTCACTAATCGAGACAATATGGCATTAGTGTAAGGATGGAATAGGAAGTCCAGAAATACAGTCTTACCTTTATATTCTGTTGTTTTTCAGCAAAAGTACCAAAGCAATTTGTTGGGGGAAAGTAGATTTTGAAACAAATGGTGCTGGGAAAATTAGATACTCATGTTACAAAAAAAAATAACTGCTACCTTACCTCATACCATACACTAAAATCAAATGAAAATTGACACATAGTGGTAAAAGTGTAAAACATACAGTGGGGGTAGGACATGGAAGAAAATCTTTGTGACTTTGAGTTAGAAAAGACACCAAAACTCAATCAATAATAGAAAAAATAAATGATAAATTGAATTTCAAAAAATTAATATTTTCTCTTCAAAGACTACTATTAAGAAATTTAAAAACAAAGCATAGACTGGGAAATATTTGCAAATTATTTTCTGATAAAAGACATGGCAAACTACAATTCAAAAACTGATTTGAATATACATTTCACTTTCTAATATACAAGTAACTAATAATAGTACATGAATAGGTGCTCACTATCATTACTTGTAAGGAAATGCAAATCAAAATCCATGTGATACACTGCTGCACATTTACTAGAATGGCAAAAAGTTAAAAGGCTAATAATATCAATTGTTGATAAGAACCTATATAAACTGAAACCTACCCGCATGGACTCCTGATGGTAATGTAAAATGCTGCAGTCATTTTGGAGAAGAGTTTGGTGGTTTCTTAAAAAGTTAAATATGAACTTGCCCTATGACCCAGCAATTCAATTCTTGGATTTTTACCCAAGAAAAAAGAAAATATATGTCCACAGGATGAATTGTATGAAAATTTTCAATTTTCAAGTAGTCATAGTAATTTGAGTCTAGAAACTAGTCACATGATTATCAAAATCTCTGTAAAATGGGAAGATATCTATATAATGGAATGCTGTTCAGCATTAGAAAGTAATAACTGATACATGCTTAAATAGATGTGAATCTCAAAAATATACTACTTGAAAGAACACATTAAAAAAAGATGTAAAAGGTATGTCTATATGTATAAACTATACATAAACACATACATATATACATATACATATATATGTGTGTGTGTGTGTGTGTGTGTATAAAACTTACAAAAATTTCAAAATGGGCAAAAGATTTTAATAGATTTAATTTCTATGAAATTTTCAGAAAAGGCAAACTTAGAAAGAAACAGGTAAGTTTCTGGGGCTGGAGTTTCAAGCAAGACTTTTCCGTAGACTGGCATGTAGGATAAGGAAATGTTCAAGAATTTTCTTGTGATGATGGTTGCACTGTTACATAAATGTACTAAAAGTCATTGGATTGTACACTTACAATTAGTATATTTTATTAAATGTAAATTATACTTCAATAAAGCTTTTTTTAAAAAAAAACCCTGGGGATTTCAGTTTTCATTAATCTGACATTTAAGGACAAGTCACATGATAAGTATAGAGGCAAATTAGCTACCTAGTTAGTTATGTTATATAAACACAAGCATTTTTGAAAGAACAAACTGGAGGTGAATCTTTACATATTTTTATAACTTGCTTTCATTGTTTAACAGTGTTGGGAGACTGTTTTTCCAAGTCAATTAATACAGATCTCCAGCATGATTTTTAATGATTTTATTAAAATAATGGAGCCTTAGTAATGCAGTGATTAAAGCACTCAGCTGCTAATCAAAAGTTGAGTGGTTTGAACCCACCAGCCACTCCCCAAAAGAAAGATGTAGCAGTCTGCTTCCTTAAAGATTACAGCCTTGGAAACCCTATGGGACAATTCTACTCTGTCCTATAGTGTTGCTGTGAGTTGGAATTGACTCAGTGGCAGTAGGTGTGGTTTGGTGTTTTGGATATATTAAGATAGTCATTTTGTGCTATGTGTTATGGTTACATCACTCTTGATGCCTTTTGTTGTTCAATAGATTATTTCCAAAATTTTCACTAATAAAAATAACACTATAATTAGGAGCTCTGGTGGCGTAGTGCCTAAGGCATTTGACTGCTAAACAAAAGGCTGATGGTTCAAACCCATCAGCCATTCCTCAGAAGGAAGAATGGGCAACCTACTTCCATAGAAATACTGCCTCAGAAACCCAGGGAAGGTCTTTATGAGTCGAATCCACTTGACGGCAGTGAGTTTGGTTTGTTTGTTTTAAAATGAATATGCTTATAACTAAAACTTGTTCATGTCCTTATTATTTTTTGGGGGGGAGGATAAATTCCAAGGAATAGAATTCAGTGTCAATGTGGTATCTATATCTAAGTGTAACAATTCATACTCAATTCAGTGTTATGTGTAATTGCCAGCCCCCCTCCTCAAACCACATAAACCCACTGTCATTGAGTCGATTCCAGTTCATAGTGACCCTAGTTCAGACCAGAACTGCACCATAAGTTTTCCAAGGTTGTAAATCTTCATGGAAGCAGACTGCCACAACCTTTTCCCATAGAGTGGGTGGTGGGTTCGAAGTGCCACTTTCAGTTAGCAGCCAAAAGTTTCACCAGTGTGCCAACCAGGAAAATAACTTACTAAGCCTTTTTTCAAGTGTCTTATTTTATTCTTCCACCACTCATCTGTCAGTTTGTTGTACTGTGGTGGCTTGTCGTTACCGTGATGCTGGTAGCTATGCCACCAGTATTTCAGGTACCTGCAAGATAACCCATGAGGGACAGGTTTCAGGGGAGCTTCCAGATTAAGATGGACTAGGAAGAAGGATGTTGTGTTCTACTTCTGGAAAAATCCACCACTGAAAACCTTAGGAATAGTAGTAGAACACTGTCTGGTATAGTGCTGGAAAATGAACCCCTCAGGTTGTAAAGCACTCAAAATAGGCCTGGGGAAGACCTGCCCCCTCAAAGTAGAGTTACCCTTAATAACATGGATGAAGTAAAGCTTTGGGGACCTTCATTTGCTGATCTGGCATGACTCAAAATGAGAGGTAACAGCCGGAAACATCCATTACTAATCAGAACATGGACTGTATGAAGTATGAATCTAGGAAAATTGTAAATTGTAAAAAATGAAATGAAATGCATAAAGATTAATATCCTAGGCATTAGTGAACTGAAATGGACTGCTATAGGTCATATTCAATTGGAAAATCATATGGGTTGCTATACTGGGAATAACAAATTTAACAG